ATAATCTACTAACGTAAACTTAGCAATTAATAAAATTTGGATTACCCTGAACAATTTGCTTCCGGCTGTAAACTATGAATCAAATATCCGTAAAACCAATCATTTGAGAAAAATCAAAACATCGTAAATGGTCCCATCGAACAAATGTTTAAACCAGCAAGGTTTTATTTCGTCTTTCTTAAGGGGAAGAAGGACCTTTAGCTGAAAAAATATCTGTCGTTTAATTTTTTTCATATTTTGTATATCTCTAATTTAGTATATCCCACATACCTTCAAGCAGATATATCAATAGGTTTCTAGACTATTTTTTTTAGATATAGAGTGACAAATACTATACCCCACAATATCTTAGTGGAGTTTTGATCCTCAATGTTTCTGGGCCCATAAATCGGTCCATCACGGATTTTTTTTTCAGCATAGATAAAAAATATGCCTGCGAAAATGTTTCTTTTAAAATATTTCAGAGTATGAATATGGTTAGACATTTTAAAAAGCAATATTCTTTTGTCAAACCGCATCTGGAGAGAAAATTACATACTTTTAAAGACAACTTAAACAATAAAAAAATTAATTTGCAAAAAATATTACCATTCAATATTTGAAAATTTACGCAGAAAAACAAGTTCGTCATATTGATTAGCTGTAAAAATATCGATTGGTGAAGCTGGGTTCAATATTGCACAGAGCAAAGTTAAACAAGACATAAACTTGAGAAAAACGTGTCATTTTTACATTTCTCGAGTACGGGAAAACCCACATTTACGAAATGAACGAAATAAGACAAACCTACAAAATATTTCCTTCAAGAACCATGTTAAAGTATTTTTTGTGTTCCCTAATTCACAAAATGTTCCATCATGTACTGATTATGACCCGTTTTTATGATATTCTACTACCCCTGTTTTACTGTGTATAATCTTACTGTACTAAGAGATCCACTATGACGTCTCCGACTCATTGGATGCGCAGTGTAGGGAAAAAGAAGAATGGATCAATCTATTCCGTTATTTGCTAATATTTGCAAGAAAGTTTTAATCTTTTCAAAAAAATATACAAGTACTATAGTTTCAATCTTGTTTTGCACATATTTTTTCAGAGATTATGACGTAATTAAACTGAGTTATGTGTCCAAACATCCATCGTCCCCTTAAAAACAATTTTGCTCGACTTCGACTAATTTTAACAAAGCAGTATAGCCTTCTTCGACTCTAAGGTACACATTTATGTGGTGATGTTCAGCTGGAAATGTGCGAAAAGTATATAGACTGATTAACAATGCGAAGTTATCGAAGTATTTTTGTTGACTGTCCTAGCGTACTCTTAATCATATGATCTGGTATACTAGTATTTGTTCGGTATAGTATCTAAAGCTGACATGAATTTATAAATACTCAACATTTTGATATATTGTTTTTTAAAAGAACTTGGATTTCAACTGTCAAGATTCAGCTTTCCACTCTTTATTAAATTAAACAATGTATTTGTAATATTTATTATTACATTAAATATTTTCACCTAATATACTAAACTAACTAATAGATAATTCTACTTTTATTATAAAATATTTTACCCTGTAAATAAAATAAGCCATATGAAACTTTAATAGTTTGACAAAAACCGCGTAAGTCTAGAAAATTATCTTACCTGTATAAAATGCAACCAACACAGTCAAGATTCAGCTATCCACTGAAATCCTGTCTATCTCGGCCACTCATTTCACACTAGGTATTCCTTTGTAGATTTACATCTCTACATTTGTAGCACCTTCGAAATTTGCAATTATTACTTTAAATTTTAATTTGAATTTAATTACTATTATTCTGGCCTTTAGAATTTTTAACTTCCAATGCAATTTTAAAATAATTTCCAATCTTTTGTATAATCTTTAAATATTATTTGTTGTAGCTAATTTATCCCAACATCTGACCTCTGGTCACTTCAATACTATTGGTTGCATCTTCACCCTAACCAAATACATATTTTGATAAACAAGTAAACAATCGCATTCCAATGAATCATTTCTTGCAACCGTCCAGGTTAAAAGTTCAACTCCTAGTGGTCAACATCTTTAATTACTTTTATCTTCAAAGCTTGCATCTGTTATCTCTCTCCGCAAATATACAAATATGTGTTACAATCTCATTTTAATGTAATTTTTGCTATGATAGCGAAACTTCATAAGAATCCTTACGTTTTTCAAAGAGGTTGGTTGTGAGATTGCCATTAACGTCTTTTTTCAGAGTAAGTATCAAAATAGGAAATAAGAATAGATATAATGATTGTTAATTGACAAAACGTTGCCGATATAATTAAATATCGAGTTAAAGCATACAGCAAGTTTTTCTTCAAATTCTACTTCAAAGAAATAGAAAAATAGGTCTGCTAATAATAGGGTGCAATGAGTACCCATGGGAATTCAAATAGATCGGTGGAAGACCTATTCTCCAAATTCCACATCGATACTATCAATCAGAAATTCAAGCATCTTTTTGATTTCAATTTAAGAGGCCTTGTGTGTTACAATCAGAATGTTTTAACAAAGTAGTTTGCAAATGACCAATGACAAGGTAAGTAAATATACGAGTTCCATTTTTATTGAGAAACACATGTCATTGATATCAGAAATCCTGGACTTTTATCTATAGTGGGGAATGTATAAAGTATAAAAGTTTTTAAGCGCTGTTGATTTTCGTAAAATATTGTGAATTCAAATTTTTCTAAGCTTCTTTGGAATTTTTAAGTATCCACATCTGATTTACACCACTTTTCGAATATATTGTTGCATAGTACTTGTTTAACATTTAAAAATATTCAACACTAACAAACGCTTTTGAAGAATCTCTTCCTTAGAAAGGGAACTATGTGTATAAGTAAAAATAAAAGTAAGTTCTCAACGGCGAAAAATATTCGTTGTGAGAACTGCATAAATTATTAGCGCTTTTTATTGCTAACATGATTGAATGTGTTAAGATCAAAACAAAACAAATTCTACTCCTTTACATTTCTTTTAATATCTTTGGATGATATAAAAACAGCTGTTTTAATTACGCAAATAACCCTAGTTCTTATCCACAGTTCTTATCAAATATCACGAGGCACACTTCTCTGAAGACAGAAAGATTTGTAAGTGTAAACACTCTCATTCTATGATTTTGAAAATTTATATTTCAGTCTTCATAAATCATTAAAATTTATCATGTGTTGTTTCTATAGATGAACACATTTTATATTCAAGCTTTTTGAATTTCAAGAATACAAAAATTATTTACTAAAGAGGGATCAAAAGTTGTTGATGATTATTTTTTTTCAATCTAAAAACCATCGGAATAAAATATTTGTAACAGCAGCATATAGAAAAAAGTCAGTCACACTGGGGTATTTCGAGATTCGTTTTTTAAGTTTCAATATGTTAAAAGAGTTTTCTTTGTTATTTTAAAAGTTTAATGCATTTGAATGCTCTATATTCAGATTTAATTGTGTCTTTTTTGACGCTTATCATTATTTTATCCATCGATCGGTTTTTAACAGTACAATTTCATAAAGATTATAAACGTGTTTTTCTTTGTAGGTATCAAGATGTCTGCACTGTGTATTGGGATATCAACTCTTGTAACAATAGGTTTAACATTTAATCAATTCAATATGGCTTGTATGCAGAAACCATAATAATATTGATGCAAACATTGATGTGTTTATATTTTAGAAAAAAAATTTCAAAACTCTATTTTTAGCAGTATTGGGCCAAAGCCAACTAGGAAACCAAGATCCAACAGCTTTCACAAAAGGGCTAACATTAAACCTCCATTCGACAATTGGTGGCGAAAAAATTTCCTTCAATAAAAGAATAACTGATATTGGAGCCAGCTTTGATTCTGAGGGGTCTTTTATATGCAAGACACCTGGGATTTATGCGTTTTCATTTTATGGACTCACTGAACAAAATTCTAAACTTTGGCTCGAAATGATGAAAAATGATCAGTTAATTGCATCGAGTAAGTTCTATCCGTTTTAGGCAAATAAAAATTTTATATAATAAGTATAAGAATTGATTTGAGTTTGATATTCCTGTTTCTTTTTCTAAGTTTTTGCCTACACCGTTGCCGATTATGCAGACGCTGGAAATGCCGTCATAGTACATTTAAACATTGGTGACAAAGTATACGTGAAAGCCCACAATAATTACGTGCATACACTGTATGGACGTACTAATCAGATTTACAACACGTTTACCGGGGAACTTCTGTTTGCCGACAACTTGGGTATGTTTGAACTTTTATTTTTATCGTTATGATTGTATCTAGAATCTCTAATAAAATAATATTAATAAACATGTAATTTCTCTGGTCAAAATGGCCAAATTTCATGGATTTGTCTCCATATCAACAGCGTGCCAGTGTGAGTCTTCTAATACCATATCTGTTATTTTGTACCAAGGTGCACCTATGGTGCAAATTTAATTAAGTCGGAGAGATACCGTTAACAAGAACTACATATTTGGTGCAAACTGAGAATACATGTTAGGTGCTTCGTCATTTAAGAAAAAGATAGGCTATGACCTTTTCTGAACCTAGATTTGGGATATCTCTCAAATCGGTATTTATAGTTCAGGAAAAATACTGTTGTTTGATTGTAAGTAATGGCATTAGCCAAGGTCACGGCAAGGTTACAAAATTGGTCAACTAACATTTTTTTTCAATTTTATTCAAATTTTCATTACCTTTAATGCACATTTTGCTTTAGGAAATACAGATCACAAGAATTGCCTATCTATAAATGAATATATATCATGCATTGGTTATGAGATATATATTGTGTATGAAATTCTAAGATTGGCAAGTCTGTGCTCTATGTTTTTGGCGATACAGAATATTTCTAATTTCACAAATTTCTTTCGGTATTGAGAAAGTTCTGTAATATGTTTTACTTTGTCTCCCTGTTGTGACCTCCGTGTGCACTTTGATAAAAAAAAAATCAATGCTTGTCCTTTGCATATATATGTCATGGTCTAATTTTTCAAAATGTTATAATTCCGAAGTTTACTTTGTTAAATGAAATGACACTGATGATTTTTTAATCAATCAATCAAAAGTGTTTATGTGCATTATAGGGAGATTCTCAAACATATCCTGTTTTTTAAATAGAATTGGACGGCGGACCTGTAGGATTTTCAGCAGTTCTTACCATGAATGTTACTCTAAGTGGTGGATCTGTTTTAAATTACAACAAAGTCATTACAAATATCGGTAGTGGATACAATAGTAATACGGGAACTTTTACCGCCCCCATCGAGGGAACTTACCTGTTTCACTTCCATGCCTTGTCCTATGAAAGCAGTGTTAGCATTTTATTAATATTTTTTTGCTAAAAGCGTATGAAATGCAAAGTTTAACATTTTTGTTCAATAATTCAAATTTTTAGCATCATGTGACCTTTCTGTTGTCTCCTTTTGACAGGAATTTTGGCTTGAGCTGTTCCACGACAGCCATTATGTTTTGGGCTCTTATGGGTACACGGGTGGATATTATGCTGACGCAGGTAACACAGCAGTTCTGCACCTTAGGAAAGGTGACACCGTCAAAATAAAATCTAGGCCTGGTAGAAGTGCTAGACTGTATGGAGATGATGATGAATACTATACCACCTTCTGTGGAGTACTTTTGTCATCAATAATTTACGGAAGTGGTAATTTCTTTTTCCCTAGTCTTTAATTTTTGTTCTTAAACACAGAGAATGTATTCGTTTTAACATTGACATTAAAAAGTACTCATCCTATTTTTTATAAATATAATGTGTCATAGTTCAGGATCAGGACCATTTTTGCACTTATGAACTAAAACTTTTGCTCTCTCTCTTAATGATATACTCTAACTTTGATACTTTTTCTATTATTAAGGAACGAAAAAGCATTTATATTTCCTTTTCATGAAATCATTCCATTCTCTAGGTTATGACTTACAATCGGAAGTAGCTTTTTCCGTTGGTCTAAGCCATAACGAGCATTCAACCTCCAAGATAGTGTTCAATGTGGTTTTCCTTAATCAACAAAACAGCTATAGCACCAACACCGGGATATTTACAGCCCCAGTAGCTGGTATTTATGCCTTTCACTACCACGCCCTGGCTCAACGAGCACTATCTGAATGGGTGGAGCTCTACCATAACCACGTTTACATCAATTCTCTTTATGCCCATGCTGTAGGAGGCTATGGTCCAGGTAGTAACTCCGCCGTTCTTGAACTGGATGTCGGTGATACCGTGTATCTAACTATGCAAAATCACGGCTCATACCTTTATGGAGACAGTGATAATAATATTTACTGTACCTTTTCTGGGTACCTCCTATCGCCCACTGCTCGTCACGGTGCTGTTATAGGATAACGTTTATGACATATAAATGAATTATGGAACAGTGTACAACTGTTCATGTTTGTGTGTGTTTTGGGTATTAAAAACTAATTTGTTATTAAAAATGTTTTAAATGAAAACTAGTCATTGCTTTCTCTTTCTTTAATTCATCTCACACATAACTTCGATTTAAAGATTTTACTAAAGTTTAGGAATCAAGCATTGTTAACGTTTGGCACGAGCTCTTGAACTATGCAATGTATAAAAAGGAGCTCGAGGTGTGTTAAGCCCCAGTAATATGGGATGCGGGGTATTTATTTTTTTTACTCTGTCTGGCTGTCTGTCTGTTCAATTTAAAACTTTAAACTTCCCATAACTTTTGAGTGGATGGGGCTATGACTTTTATATTTAATGATGTATTTCTTTAAACAAGACCATTTCTTCGAGTACCCTGGACACACTTTTACGAAAACTTACCAAAATTAACCTTAGAAATAAGTTAAGAACCATTGGTGCTTGAACTTTCATGTTTCATATATGTATTTAATGCGACAAGACTTTTATATTGGTCTTAATATTTTTGACATTGAAATGAGAGTTTTAAAAACTTTTATCTTGGTCATAACTAGAGCTTTCATATTTTATAGGTGTATTACTTGTGAAAAAAAGTTTTCTTCGGATATCAACAATTTTGACCTTTCTTTCTTGTCCTTAGAATTTGACCTGCTTTTTAAAAACTTTAACCCTTGTCATAACTCTTGAAAAGTTAGCATTATCTTATAGCTTATTGCTTTAAAAATCATTTCATCTTATAAAGAGAAAATAATGTTCAGCAATTATGCATTTGATGATTTTATCAAGCTCAACTATGCATATTTATAAATCTACTTTCAATTAGGATACTTGAAAACGAAAGAACCGTCGTAGACATAATTATGAAAAGTAAAACAAAGTCTTGATTGTACAAACCTTTTCTTAAATGTTAGTGGGTTCTTTGATGTGATAATAAAGGAAAATGTCAGTGTGTCATTAAGATTGCCGACGTGCAGTGATCAAATGGTCCATAATTATCTCTTGGATCTCTTCCCTCTTTTTTTTTTTTTTTTTTTTTTTTTCCAATTATTTATTCAATAACATACAATATAACAGAGAGGTAAAACTTCCGCAGAAGCCCTCTGATAATACCTCACCAGGGGTGCCAGGAGCTCCCTGGATCGATATAGTATTATGTAATATATCTCCAAAATTTGAACAGAATTTTTTCACATTATGCTAATATAAAATTATTGACGCTTCATTTTCATACATATCTCAAAGCAAATTAGCACCATTTTTACATATGATAACAAAGTATACGTTTAACACCATTATACTAATATATGATTATTGACGCTTCATTTTCATACATATACATAAGTATCTCAAAGCAAATTAGCACCATTTTTATATATAATAACAAGGTATGCATTTAACACCAATAGAAATATGACCCTTGTTGCAGTGGAGATTGTGTGGAAAAAAAGAAAGAAGTCTATATCAATCTCACTGTATCTAGTATTTAGGGCCAGGTCACCCTCAAATACGGGTCTTTTTGTGTTTTACAACCTATAAACAAGATCAATATGTAGAGTTTTGTGATAATAAAATTAGATTATAATAATACATCAGAATAAATGAATTTTACAAAGACATGAATATTTTTCCTCACATACATAGTTTGAATCTGGCATTACATTTTCATTTGATGATCTATTAATTTATTCATTTTGAACATATTTTAAACATAATGTTTCCAGTTACATGAAAAATAACATAGCAAAAAAGGAATATATAAATAAAAAAAAATAGTGTGCCGTATAGTGGACTTCTATGTGTGAATACATGTATATATAGTTTATCATGGCAGCAGATAATACCGAGAGAAAAAAAAAACAAAAACCTAGTGTGCCATATAGTTAATTAATGAATGTGAATACATGTATGTATAATTTATCACGGCAGCAGATAATGCCAATAACCCTATAACTGCATGGTATTAGAATCCCAAGGAATTTTGAAACATATGATTTATTTTCTCTTTGAATTTTGTCAAATCCTGTGATTGTAATAGTAAAAAATTCGATTTCATTTCATTTTTGAATGCATTTTTAATACTGTAGTCAGTTATTTTTAAATTATCATATTTAATTTTATTTCTTGTTTTCCATATGACCCATTTATAAATACATATTAAAATGTTAATAACGGTTCTTTGGGTTTTCGGTTCCTTCAAGTATCCTAATATTATTGTTTGTTGGTCAATTTGTAAAGTTCCATTTAGTTGTAGTACATTTTCAATTATATCTTCTAGTAACTTGAGTGTTGTTTTCACTTTTGCGCATTGGAAAAAGAGGTGTTGTTGATTTTCTTTATGATTTTTACACAAGTTGCATAAACCATTGGATAGTCCGATTTTACATAATTTATCTTCAGTATACAATATGTTATGCACGCATTTCCATTGGAATTCTTGAATTTTATTTTTAACTTTCAATTTTGAAATACTGTTCCAAACTAGGTCCCACTGTATGTTATTTTGATAAATATTTTCCCATTTTTCTTGACATTTTGGAATTATTGTCTTGTTCAATATTTTTTCTACGTTCTTTAACTTGATATCTTCAAAGGTTACCACTTTATTACTATATCTCTTCCCTCTTCAATATATGAATATCTGTCCCACCTGTCTGTTTACGCGCAACTAAACTCCCCTACTCAACGAAAGAGACTTGCGTATTGAATATACTTAAAATAAAGTTTGCCTGAAAGAAAATAAAAAATTATGAGGTGCCATTTTGGTATTAACTGGCAAAAAGCGATATCACCTATTCGACACACTAATGTAGTCTATAAGCGCCTAACAAACATTAAACTGTCACCATAATTAAAATTGGATAAACATTATATTGCAGAGGAATCTTATTATTTTAAATGAAAGCATTTACCTGATATAATCCAGATATTTTAAAAATAGTTTTAATCAATACATCTAGTTTTATATGATACATTTGGACTAACTCAATTGAAAAAAATTAATTAAGCCTGTGATTTTCCCCCATTAAGATATGTTTGACTCTGAATCAACACGTCTGACTCAATATCTAGTCGTTAGACTTGTAGTCGAATATTATGCTTTCGACTAGTAGTAATCAAATTTCATCCCTTGGGAATTTTCCTTGATGAAAGGTTTCAGGCATTTTACATTTTCAAACAAGTTCAAAAATGATTGAAACGAACTTCTCGATGAACCTCGATGTTTACCAAATGACTTGTAAAACATCGAATGAAAGAGGTTGTTGATATATGTCAGGTGTTCGACCTTTGATCAGTTTACCATACCATGCAAAACATGCTCTAAAGACATTGTATTATACATTACCTCTAAAAACAATTAGTTCATTAACTTCGGAATTTTATTTTTCGCAAAACAACGGGACCAAACTCTCATAGCTTAATTGCACTCATCCTTCAAGATTAGTGAAGTTATTAAAGTTGGATTATCATAAGGTTAATCAATAAAGCTTTCGTAAGGAAAATTAGGTCTCTAAAATATTTTTAGAATGTAAGCAATTAATTTGGATTGATTGTTTCCTATATTTTTCATAAATCTGCCAAAGCGACTAAGGACAGCATTGAGGCCCATAGGCGTTGTTGACAAGTTTTTTTAAAAAAAGATTTAAACATTTTCTGTCACGTAACGTCACAATGAATTGTGGAACACAACTAATAATTCATTTGATATTGGCCTTGGAACAGTAATGTGTGGTCCTTGTGAGACGGACCTTTTCTGATTGTCCTGTGGCGCAAACCTCAAACGTTTTCATCATTATCTCAGGTAAGAAACTTCGGGATTCTGAACTCGAAACTGTTAGTTTGTGCATGCGCACAATACCAAAGGCTATGTGCAGCGCTCTCGTGCATATATATGGCACGCCAAATTCACAAAAATGAGCAAAACATAGTTTCACAGTCGATAAACTAGGTTTATCGGTTGTAAACTATAGTTTACGGACGGTAAACTGTAGTTAACAACGTTAATCTATATTTTACATCTGTAAACCATAGTTCACGCGATAATCTATGTTTCATATAGCACGCCAAATTCACAAAAATGATCTAAACCTAGTTTCACAATTGATAAACTAGGTTTATCGACTGTAAACTATTTTACAAACCGTAAACTATAGCTAACGATTCGTTGATTAAGTATAGTTTTCATCTGTAAAACTATATTTAACGGTTGTTAACTATAGTTTACTAATGCTAATCTAAGTTTATCTGTCTGTAATAAAACTTAACAATAGATTTTGTTGATAAACATAGATTCACGTATGTAAACTATAATTTACGATCGTTAACTATAGTTAAGAGTTGTAAACCATAGTTTACAAATCGTGAAACTGTATTTATCAGATACATGTAATCTATGTTTTGCGATCGCAAATGATTGTTTTTGGTGTTAAGTATAATTTATGGTTGTGAAACATACATTATCGCGTTAACTATAGTTTACAAATGTAAAATATATGTAACAGGCTTGTGGTATTGCAAATAACGAAAACACCTGTCAGGGTTCGTACTGTTTATTAATGGTGGCAGAAATAAATATATTCACTATTGCCCTGAAATAAATAATACCAATACTGAGTAAAATCATAAAATCATTAATGCACAATTCAATATTATACAGAATGCTGCATAAAGGGAGGTAACTCTTACATTCATTACACATCTTGACATAATACAATACTCCCTTAGAATTTACACTTTGTGCACATAATTAAAATACTTTACAACAAAAAATATATATTACTATTAAAGCTATAATATCTTCATAGACATTATGTACCTTTTACTTATAAACAATATATCATAAAAACAATAGCATACCATTCTGAGGGAATAGGCAAGCTCCCATGGTTAAATATCATACAAGTAGTACAAGGCTGGGAGTCCAGATGATAACTTTAAATTATCATAAACCTTATATAATTCTCTGATCATAAAACACATGTTCATATTATCTAGATCATAAAATACCCTAACTTTACTGCTAATAACTAAGTAAAAATCTGACTTCCAAAATCTCTCTTACTGTGCAAAAGTGCTATGGAAATTAATATTGCAAGAATTACAGATTTGACATTTAATAAAATATATATTAAAGATATGTTAAAGTTAGTAAATAAATATTAACTTACCAGAAGATGAAGAGAGTCTCAGTCAGAATGTCAAATTTGTCATGAACAAAATCAATGGAATCTCTCTACAAACAATCTGGACAAAGAGTGACCAGAAAGACCAAGAACACTTTGGAGGGAATTTGACAAACCAATAAAACACAAGAACACAAAACTAAAACCCAATAGAAACAAATGACTTATATAACTTATGGCCAGGACCTTAATTATAACCCTAAAGGCAAATAACAGGGTAGCACTATCTGTTACACCTGAATGGCCATACACTTATCTAATAAGCTGAAATAAAAATATATACAAATAGAATACAAAATAATCTGATATTTATTAATTAATTAGAAATTAATTAATAAATCATCACTCTTACATATAGATTAACGTTGTTAACTATAGTTTACAGACCGTAAACTATAGTTTACAACCGATAAACCTAGTTCATCGACTGTGAAACTATGATTAGCTCATTTTTATGAATTTGGCTTGCTAAACATAGTTTCACAATTGATAAACTGGGTTTATCGACTGTAAACTATAGTTCACAAATCGTAAACTATAGTTTACAATTCGTTAAGTATAGTTTTCATCTGTAAAACTATATTTAACGGTTGTTAACTAAGGTTTACGAATGCTAATCTTTATCTGTCTCTAATAAAACGTTAACAATAGGTTTTGTTGACAAACATAGATTCACGTCTGTAAACTATAATTTACGATCGTTAACTATAGTTAAGAGTTGTAAACCATAGTTTACAATCGTGAAACTGTATTTATCAGATAATCTATGTTTTGCAATCGTAAATGATTGTTTTTGGTGTTAAGTATAGTTTACGGTTGTGAAACATAGATTATCGCGTTAACTATAGTTTACAGATGTAAAATATAGATTAACTTTGTTAACTATAGTTTACAGACCGTAAACTATAGTTTACAACCGATAAACCTAGTTTATCGACTGTGAAACTATGATTAGTTCATTTTTGTGACTTTGGCGTGCCATACATAAGTGCCATACATACAGCTTCTGTAGAGTAAATGTGACATTTGTATACAATCTTTCACTTTATGCTTATGATTTGTTTGAAAACATTATATGAATTGGACATATTAATTTAATTCTGTATCTCTTTATAGAGGAAATAAAAGATGAATGGATGTCACTGATGCTTATCTCTTGCCTAGTCAATAGGTAAAGCTGAAAGCAGCTGAATTATTCCCATAAAACATATATAAACGTTGTTTATTTTCTTATGGTCTCTTTCCTGTCGCAAATCGAGACTGTGTCCTAAAAAGCGAGATGTCAAAATGCTTAATTGCTACTTAAAGGCTGAATCCCCATCTAAAATTCATCGTTCTTTAATTTGCTACTTCCGGTTGTGTACTTACGTATGACTGTACTTTGATTTTTTTTTTAATGAAGTTGCAAACTACGGTATAAAAATATGAAAATCCCTTACATTGGAATTATACAAACTTTATACCTTGTAACCGAAATTTTCGAAGGAGGTAAGTTTTAAATTGACCTTTCTTTGATTTGATAGTTTTAAAATATAAAATTGTTCTGAATTGATTTTTTTTCTTAAGAATCCCTGGTGGTAACAGAAAAGTGGTTTCATATTATTTTTGTCAAGACATTTCTCCTTTTCAAGAATTTAAAATTCACTGAGTTGGGAATTTTATTTTAGACTTTCAGCTTACTTTTCTTGAAATATGTACCAGGGTATTTCTTATATTTTTTTTATTCCAGGTCGACCTTAATTATCTTTTTTTTATTATTATTATTTCTAACACTCAAGTAAGTGGCGTAAATTTTCTGAGAATCTGGGACAAATAAAATATATTTATGCTTTCCATTTACATGTACATTATTTTAGATAAACGTGAAAAATAATAAGTACTAGTTACATACAAGTTTAAAAATATATGACCAGCTCTCACAACTATTTGTTTTACAGCAGAATTTCATAATTGCAAAACACTAGTACTTGAAAATGGAAGTGCTAGGTTACGAATTAAGGGTCGTATTGTTAGATTTCGCTGTAAGAGAGGATTCCAGCTTTACGGGGCGAAAGTGGCTGTCTGTAGAAATGAAGAATGGAGTTTCCCCGCGCCTGTCTGCGTTGGTATGTTTTCGATAATGAATGAATTTTTACCTCTTCAATTACGTTTTTCACTATAAATGCACAATTTTATTTCATCTTGATCTATTGTAGCGGAAGGTGAAAAATGCCCAAATTTAAAGAAAACTAAAGATATGATGATAACCTCAAAGCTAAAGAACGGACTTTTGATGTATTCCTGCAAGCCTGGCTTAACGTTAACTGGAAATAGTACTTTGTATTGTGATGGGTCTAAGTGGAGAGGTGAAATACCACAATGCATATGTAAGTCATTTATATTTATATTACATTCAGAAATGGAAATTTTATCAAAATATTCAATTAGGTTTGCTTTTTTCACGTATAAATTGTTATACATGCAGACCCATAGCAACAGTTTTTAAAAATCGGATCAAAAGAATAGACGAGCTGTCAAAACTCGAAAATCCTATTTCGTGGCGGATGAGGGGGGAAGGGGGGGGGTGATCTTTCTCGTCTCCTTGGTATATATACAATGTATTTATTATGCTTCCTGTCAGTTTTTCTCTATATAATCAATACCCAACATTTTTTGCAAAGTGTTCTAAGGACTTATATAACGTAAGCATACTAGTTATATTTAGAGTACTCAAATTCTGCAGATTCAGATAGACAGGGCGGGGCTTAAAGTGAGAGCAACAGTTCGAGCCTGGCCCCGCCCTATACTGTGGAATCACAAATTTTCGTAGGGGTTTAATTTTCGTTGTTTTCGAGGCGTGAATAGACCCACGAATTCATGCTCACCAGGAAATGTAAAATGTGACATACATTACTACTCAATAATTCTACATCCACGAAATATAATCCCCACGAACCAGGAGTTTTTCCTTAAACCACGAAAATTTGACACCATGAAAATATGTGATTTTACAGTATCTCCGATAAAGTAGAAAAAGAGAATTCTAAATGACTTGTAACACGACCCCTACATGACGTTTGTGTTTTTAAATGCTCTCTCGATAAATATAAATCAGGTAACGGTATTTCACTGTTCAGCCATTCCGATACTAAATGGTGGAATATGTTACAGTTACTGAAAAATTACTTGGGGCATCACGAGATATTATGATGGGCGGTGAAGAGTTTGCGCTATTAGCAGATTTATTTTTGTTTTCATATGAAGCAGAATTTGTGCAAAATCTTATGCGTGAAAAGAAGAAAAGACTTGCTGTGGCCTTCAACTCATCTTCGCTAGCCAAGGGTTTCTGATACGCTACTCTCCTCATAAACCCTTGGCATACGGTGTTCATAAAAATCGGGGTTTTTTTCCAGAGTTCTCATTGGATTTCAGTACACACCTGTCGACCAATCATCAATTGTTTTTTGTAAATGACGATACTTCTTGACTCTTTAACATCGGAACTGAAAAACGCAAGTAAATAACGATCCGTAAGATAACATGCAATTCTATGAATAGCTATGGTGTCATCCAATATCTTCTAAATACCGGGGTATGTGATTAAGAATCTATATTGGAGCTTCCGATTTGTACTATAAGTAATAAATAAATATTACTCAATTATTTATAAAGAGAAAAATGACACAAAACTCAATATAGAATTTATATTTATTTATTGTGGCGAGTATTGGCCGTGGCACAGTATAAAATTGTGGGACGCCATTTCAATTGGGCGAACCCACCAAATTCAAACATCAACAATGTGTGTTTCTTTTTTCTAACCGTCCCGGGTTAACCGCGGAGGGTCAGCACACATACAAATTGTTCAAATCAAATCAATCAATCAATCAATCATTCAATCAATCAATAAGTCATATCTCAAATTCCAAATATCAAGCACATCAACTTATTTTATCAAATCTTGTATATCATATATCATTAATATCTCAAACTTCATAGATCAAACATCTCAAACTTCAAATATCAACATTTTTCATATTTCAAACCTGTACGATGTAGTACAGTTCTAAAGTATATATTACTGTCACCAAGAGTAAGCTTATTAGCTTAGTTTACCCTAGCATTAGCATTTCAACAAGGTGACAGTTTATTACAAGTTTCACACAAACATTCAGTTATCAGTTGACTTGGTGTGCGCAGACGCCACATGGCTGCAAGTTGGCACAGCTTGCAGTCACCCCACACATTGGGGGGAAGCAAAGCAAGTCAACTGGACCACGACCAATACTGCCAAGACCCCCCTTCCCAACTAGATCCTTGCATACATCTTGATTCCTAGATGTGCATATCCTTCAGCAGACTTAGACTAAAGTATTTTGAATTTCCCTCAATTTAGAAAAGGTTTTACAACACATAAGGCAATCAATTTTTTACCAAATGTGATGTATCTCGCCTAGTTCCTCAATGCCTAATAAAGCTTTGTCTTGTAGAAACTTACCTGTCTATTAATTCCTTCTAAACATTAATGTCTGAGCAACTTTGCAATGCTCTTTACCACCATAATTTTTTGTTTCTCCATTATTCAAGGCAAGTTAGATGCAAATGGTTGTAGTTAATCAAAATTAAAGATCTGGGTTTTTTTAAAACCAAATAGGGGGAGTTTCACTCAAGAGAACTACCTATATCATAATTCCTGTTTAAAAATTGCTAGGAAAGCCATGTCCTGCTGTTTGAAAAACCCAAATTTTATATCTCCGAAGACGACTCATTCACTCTCTAATTAGCCAACTGAAGCAGAGCAATTTGAAATTCTTAATCATATTCAATTACAAGAAGGTACAACACTATTTAGTGATGGTTACAAATGCCTGTAAAAGACAATACTAACATTTTGGAAGCATACTGGTCTTGTTTAATGATATTCCTACAAAAGATACATTAGCTGAAACATGTAACAAATTTACTAGTATTCCAATTTGTATATCATACTTACCAGTTAAGCTGCCAGGAAGATATTTGGCACCTTATAGATACCATTTTTAAACTAGGATTTTTTGGCTGCAATTTCATTACCCATGCTTGCAATACTTGTGTACTTGACTAATCTTATTTATGTGCTAATTGACTAAGTCCCTTCCCTCTTACATAGATTCTTTCAATAAATATACTGACACGCAAGAGAAACGCAACAATCAGTAATCTACAAATAGTTGAATTTTTTATCTAATGATTTTCAAAAATGAAAACATTAAGGCTAAACTCAATTTTCAGACCATCAGAGATTTGATAAAAATGTTAAATGTTTATCTTTTAACTTAACTGAGTAACATATGACTGTTAAAACACCCCCTCCTTTTCATTTAATTACAACGTTCAAGACTGCCCTAAACAACAATTGCAGCTTAATTTCTATGATACAATAGGTTAATCAATATCGAGATCTGAGCGAAGGAATTATTCTTTGCCATTTTTAAATGCCTGTTTTTCAGATGATTAGGTCGAATTTTCTCTAACTTAGCGCATTGTAGTAACCCTTGGACTTCCGGTCCAAGGACTATCATTTTTGCATATGATACATAAGACCCCGTTGAGGCGTAATGCAGTTTATTTTTGCATCATCAACTCTCCATCACCTTAACGTTGAAATTTTCCAGTTAGAGCAATGGAAATGCGTACTTAAGCCATTTTTGAGAAGCCTTAGCATCGTTACGGGAAACGAAACGAGATTTTATTTTAAATATTGCTGCATTACTTAAGATTAACAGTACAAACCCTTAAAACTCCATAATATTGCCAAATGTTTTGTTAAACATGCAATTTTTGATTTTTGTTAAGCAGACTCAAACTTGACTTCCGGTTATTGTACGAAAATCGTTCAACCGTTATATTACCGATATTTACCAATATGAAGATATCCATAATCTTAAGATACAAAATTCTCTACATTACATAATTATTTCCCCCTAAAGTAGGGTGTTGCGTTTCTTTTGCGTGTCAGTATATTATTAATGCCTGTGATACATGTATGTGCATCTGAGCTCTACCGCTCTATATGACAACATTCTTCCACTGTGTAGCCCAAAATGCAAAGCAAAGTCTAAAATTCTTAAAGGTATTGATGCTTGATTATGAATTACATCAAATGGAAATATTTTATTTTATTTATTTATTTATAATATGCAATGAGCCTGAATACACGTATCACATGTACTGCTATCAATATGTGCTTGATCCTTCTTAATAGTATTTTGATTAAAAAACATACACCAAGTGAAATTCGTTTTAAATGCAAGCCCAAGGGACAATGCACAGTCTTAAGTTTTAAAGTCCACATAATAAGAACAGAGTTACAAAATAAAAGCACCCTGTGAGGAACTTTAATAGCCCAAACATCTTAAAAATGAAGTAAAATGCACATTCAAGGTTAAGCAATCTGTATAAAAATCCAAAAACATATAAACTTTCTGTGAGAACTCTTTTGAAAATTAATTGATACATTGTTAGGGATTTAAGGAACCTGCTTAATTGTGTCACTTCTTGTGTGTAAATATAACCAAATAGTTTAAATAAGTTTATTTGCAACATATATTCTGTTGCATATATTATAAGTTAACTTGGATTCTAGAAGTAATTGTAATTTAACTTGGTATTTCTAACACTAATATCTTAAGTAACCTAAACTGATCTGGAAGGTCATGTCTACCTACATCTCAAATATCCAATATCTCTACTGAAAGCTTTTCCTAATCCCAAAGTTTAAGAAAATGAGATTTGACTATTCCTTTTTTCCTTTAATTATTAAAAACCAAAATATATTCATTTATAAATGATTACAAAACATTCTTAACATTTCTTGGATTACATATTGCAATTTCCAACCTTTCATTTCCACTTTATTGGATCAAAACAAAACTATCCTAGTAATTCCAGTCTTAGGCAATGGATGGTTTATGGTTATATATAAGTAATTTGTATTTTCCTTTTCATTCAAGAATTAATAAGAATTGATACATTATGTTGTTTAACAATGAAGATGCCCCCACCCCCTTTCTCATTTTCACCTTTGTATTACTATATTTCAATGATCATTTTGTTTCCAATTGAATAACTAAAAAATACTATCAATGACCAGAAAGCTCCAACAAAAACAGACTTGAGAAAGGCATTTTCCAGAGGATCATTGCTCCCCGACCCCAAATTTAGATCTCTTTTCTTCTTGAAGTCAACTATAATGAGTAGGATGCCCAATTTCAGTGTAAATCTATAAAATTTATGATATGCAATTGATCCTATCGCTTGCCTTATACATATCATGGGGCTTTCACAACATTAGATAGTAATATTTCATGAATACCAAGAACTAAACTCTTGGAAAATTAGGTGCATT